GATTTCTTAAAGTTTCAGAGGCCTTTTTAAGAATTCTTGTTTCAGGACCAGCAGGTGGCATAATAGTTACATCTTTGGATTCCCACATAGTCAACCTCAGTTCGAGACCCAGACCCGGACCCGGTGGCTTAAAACTCATAATAAGCGCATGTGCGTGCATATCCAAAATCACCAGAGGAGAATGGAGGAGAAGGGATTGTGGCGTGGCCATCCCCTGGGGGGGTGATTTCTTGTTTCTGTCTCTGTCTCTTCGGTGAATGCAAGTGCCCTATGGCAAAAATCTCTCAAAAGAAAAAAAAAATTCTTGTTTCTCCTAGGGATTTTCTGCTTGGTGTCGTCGGTGTAGGAAGGGTTGGGTGCCAGGGCAGACCCATGGTGGAGGTGGAGGGCTCCAGCAGGGGTAACCTGGGTGTCACACATCTGCCTTTGGGGGGTGTCGCCTCTTTCCTGCTCGCTGACACTCCTGAGACCCCTCACACCCCTCCATAGCCCTGATTTGTTTCTTATCATTACGATGACTCAGCACCTCCCTTCCTGTCCAGGGCAACTCTCTGAGCCTCAGTTTCTTTTCTAAGCGGGGAGGATAATAGATGCTCCATCCCACAGTAGCGTGAGGGTCATGAGTTAATGAGGCCCAGAACAGAAGCTATGGCGGCTCATGGATGTGTTAATGGGGCCCAGAACAGAAGCTATGGCGGCTCATGGATGTGGTGCCAGCTCAAAGGCACCGGGCGCCGGCAGCGCTGGGATGAACCTGGGCCCCACAGCGCTCTTGGCCTACAGGGGCATCCACGCAGGAGCCACCCTGTGCCGGGCCTGGGTGCCAGCTCCTCGCCAACCCCCTGGGATGGATTTTGCAAGGAAGTAGCGGGTGCTGGGTCCCAGCCAGCAGGGGCCGACTCTGGTTTCACTTTCTGCTGTGTCATGGGGGGAGGTGTAGGGGGGCCCAGCTGGCCAGCTGGGGTCGGGACCGGGGCCGGGGGGAGCCTGAAGAATGGCACTACGGCATGAAAGGGATGCCCCTAGAAACTGAAAATCCCTGACATCGCTGTCACCAGAGAACCATTTTTAAAATGCTTTGGGAATGTGGGAGTGGGGGCATATGTAGTCTTTTCTCAAGGCTTTGGCCTAGGCAGGGAGAGCTCTGGTGGCTGGTCCGAGCCCGAGACCAGCTGTGCAGTGCACTGTGGGAGTTTTAGCAGAACATGCAGAAAATGAGGCGCACTTGCCACCTCGTGAACGACGGTACTGCCTGGGCCTGTCGGCATCCCTGTTCAAGACGGCCTGGACTGCTGCCAGCCAAGGCCCAGACGCTGCCTTCTAGCCACAGTTGGAGCCCCAGCCCCAGACAGGTGCCTGGGGGCTCTCCCTCTGGGACCCAGCCCACTGCAGTTCAGCCCCTGCTCTTGGACCCATACCCCTCTTTGTGGGCTCCGGGGAAGGCAGGACCCACGTTACCCCAGGCAGCCTTCCAGATGCTCAAGCAGAAACAACTGAGGGTGTCCCCCAGGATGGAGCCACAGCACTGTGATTTGCAGCCGGCCTGAAGCCTTCTCTGCTCTGCAGCAATAGGACTGCGATCCTTCCATTGGGGTAGGCCAAGGAGGCGTGGCACGCGGCCAGCCAGAGAGCACCTAGCAATCCAAGTCATTGTGCGTTTGTCTACTGAGTTGCTGGGCTCTTCTCCAGCTACGTGGGCACCTACCTTCTCAGAAGCTCCCACCTACACAGGGAGACGAGCCCTCTTTTTTTCACCAGGCTGGGAGAAAAACCCCAGCCAGGAGGGGCAGGATCAAGCCGGAAGTGCAGAGAAGGCTCTGAGCAATCGGAGGGTCTGGAGTGGGGGACTTGGTGTGCAGACAAGGGGTCAACCTCTGAGCCACCTTGCAGGTCAGCGAGAGCAAGCACTTGGTGGGCGTTCCGGGCTCAAGCCCCCAGGAAGGCAGTCTGCAGCCTGCTACGCCTTGGCATCAGAGCGTGCCCGCTCCAGGAAGTCGCGCCCAGCTCTGAGTCAGCCAAACCCATGGGACTCCCATTTGGCCCCAGTAACTGGACTCCAGGCCACCAGAAGGCCTCGTGGGCTCCTGATTGTATCTTAGAATGGTATTAAAAGGTCCAGACCGGGCACTTGTAGGCCATGCCATATTTAGACTCAGCTTCACCCGGAGAATATTTTAGGTGCGAGTTGAAAGAAGAGATCTGGGCCGGGTGGCCGGCTGTCACATGGCGAGGTAGAATTGCTCCCTCACAGGCCTGGCTGCCATAGCCGCGCTCACTGGCACAGATGCCCTGAGCTCCTGCCAGAACTTTGGGGCCATGCGATGGGTGCCAAGGAGCCAACGAGTGTCTGGGGAGCCTGTTGGGAAGGCTTTTCGCCCCGTTTTCTTTCCGATGGTGATAAGGCCACTTCCATTCACAGAACTCCGAGAGGCTGTTTTCAGCGCCTCTCCGCTGGTGATGGCCCAGTGTGATAGGCTAGCTTGCTGAGTGAGCTGCGGCCTCCTCCTCCTCCTCCTCTTCCTCCTCCTCCTCCTGTCAGCCACTCCAGGGAGTTAACCCTTTCGAGGCCCTGGGGTGCTGTCTGGCATGGGGCCTCAGCCTGCTGAGACCTCACAGAGGACATTATCTGCATTCCTAAGTCCTCACTTTAGTCCTGGGTAGCAGCCAATTTCTCTTTTGCCCCATCAGAGCTGAAACCACCGAGCTCCCCTACCTAGACCTCCCACCCTCATTCTGTCATCTTGAAGCAGAGAGCTGCTCGGTCTCCACCTATTTTCATCCAGGTTTCCAAGTTGACTAACTTCCCCACATTTCAGAGGGGGACGTATTGACAGTTACGTTCGCTTAGATCATTCATGGAACAATCACTTTGGGGGAACATCAACTGTTGTCACCTGGCTTTAGGAGAAATCCAAGGGGACTTCAACAAGTTCGTGAAAAAGTGGACTTACAGTACCAGTTTATTTTGGTGCAAAAAACTGAGATCCATGTGACCTAGTGTTTTCACTAACATGCATTTCCGAGAGCTTTGCGGAGCCTGGCAATCCTTGGAACCATTTTGGAAATCCACTGTGGGATTCTCGATTCCAGAACCATGGTTTTCTGGGCATAAAGGAGGGCATGTCTGTCTGAAAGCCGCTGCATCGAAACACACTTCAGCCAATTGGGAAGACGAGGTCCCTTTTGGGGCCTGCACGGAGCCGCCGTACACTGTGAAAGCGCTCACTTGTTTAAAGTTTGCTTAACTTTGTACATTTTTTCCTTTTTAGTTTTGGCTCTTGGTGCACCGAAAGCCACCACTTCCTGCCAGCTGCTTCGTTACCGCAGGGAAAATGAGGGACTTTTGGGGGCAGATGTGTTACCATTCCACTACCATAATGCCCCTAAAAATCCTTATTGCTCTTGCAGTATTCCTCGGGGGTTCCTTCCTCCAGCAACTCAAAGAAGAGACAGCTGTTCCCCAAACCCTGACACAGTTCCTTCTGGTCCCCTGGTAGATCTCCCTGAACTGCATCCAGAACTGGTTATTACCAGGAAAAACAAAAGATGCCGTCCCCAGACACTGGTGGCTAAACGTGCATTTTGCCCTCCAGGGGCAGGAGCTGGGCTCAGGCCCGGGGAAAGGGGCCGGCTGTAGCTGCGGTCTGGTCCCATTTGCTCTGGGGGTTGTGGGGGAGGTGGGCAAGGTGGAAAAGGAACAGGTGTTACCTGTTTGACAGGCCTGGTCCTTCCAGCTTGGCCTGGGGAGCTTCACCTTGGCAGGGGGCCCTGAACCGTCCCAGCTCACCTGCCAAGTCTGTGAGCCAGGACACTGTCCTACCCTGCCTCAGTTTCCCTATCTGCCAAGGGAAAAGCGGCCCTTTGTATTCTGCCTGGAAGGTTTCTTGGATGCAGTGTTGTCATAAGCTCAAGTGACCAAGGAGCTAGGAAGATGCTTTGAAAAGGGGGAAGTCGACGCATGAAACATGGAAGACGATAGTACCAGCATTTACCGACACACGTGTAATATGCGCAGACGTGCAGACAGGAGGGGAGACCACGGCCCAGCAGGAGGCATGGGCTTCTGTGACCAGCCAGGCTTGTGTTGCAGCCTAAGCTCTGTGACTTGTTGCGTCATTCCAGGCACCTGACTCAACCTCTCTGGGCCGCCAGGTTCTTATGCAGGAAACCCCTGGCTCAAAATGTTGCCCAAGTCTGGTGTGCACGTGTACTCAGTGACTTTAGGTGGTACCTGCCTGAAGATGTAAATTACTCTTAATAGATGTTCCTGGTGGAGCTAATTTGTATTTAGGGCAAAGATATAGGGGTCCTTTTTTATTTTTTATTTTTTTTAGATCAACTTAGGTGAGTTTAAAAAAAAAAAAGGTGGTTTAGGGGCCAACAGGTGGTGTGGTAGTTAAGGTGCTGGATTTCACATAGCCAACTCTGCAGTTCGAGTCCCAAACCTGGCAGCTTAAAAAACATTCTGGGTGTGCACGCCCAAAACCCCAAGAGGAAAATGGAGAAGAAGGAATTGCGGCATGGCTGTCCCAGCTGGGGAACGGTATCTCACTTTCCCTCTCTCTTTGCCTCTCCCTGGGAAGCACATATATGCCCTATGGCAAAAATCTAAAAAAGAAAGGAAAGAAAGAAGGAAGGAAGGAAGGAAGGTAAGAAAAAGATGGTTTCTTAAAAGAGATATTAAAAGAAAGATAGCACAGGTGACTTGCAGATGGGACAGAAATCAAGAGATTTCTTAAAGTTTCAGAGGCCTTTTTAAGAATTCTTGTTTCAGGACCAGCAGGTGGCATAATAGTTACATCTTTGGATTCCCACATAGTCAACCTCAGTTCGAGACCCAGACCCGGACCCGGTGGCTTAAAACTCATAATAAGCGCATGTGCGTGCATATCCAAAATCACCAGAGGAGAATGGAGGAGAAGGGATTGTGGCGTGGCCATCCCCTGGGGGGGTGATTTCTTGTTTCTGTCTCTGTCTCTTTGGTGAATGCAAGTGCCCTATGGCAAAAATCTCTCAAAAGAAAAAAAAAATTCTTGTTTCTCCTAGGGATTTTCTGCTTGGTGTCGTCGGTGTAGGAAGGGTTGGGTGCCAGGGCAGACCCATGGTGGAGGTGGAGGGCTCCAGCAGGGGTAACCTGGGTGTCACACATCTGCCTTTGGGGGGTGTCGCCTCTTTCCTGCTTGCTGACACTCCTGAGACCCCTCACACCCCTCCATAGCCCTGATTTGTTTCTTATTTTGGCATTACGATGACTCAGCACCTCCCTTCCTGTCCAGGGCAACTCTCTGAGCCTCAGTTTCTCAGCAAAGCGGGGAGGATAATAGATGCTCCATCCCACAGTAGCGTGAGGGTCATGAGTTAATGAGGCCCAGAACAGAAGCTATGGCGGCTCATGGATGTGGTGCCAGCTCAAAGGCACCGGGCGCCGGCAGCGCTGGGATGAACCTGGGCACCACAGCGCTCTTGGCCTACAGGGGCATCCACGCAGGAGCCACCCTGTGCCGGGCCTGGGTGCCAGCTCCTCGCCAACCCCCTGGGATGGATTTTGCAAGGAAGTAGCGGGTGCTGGGTCCCAGCCAGCAGGGGCCGACTCTGGTTTCACTTTCTGCTGTGTCATGGGGGGAGGTGTAGGGGGGCCCAGCTGGCCAGCTGGGGTAGGCACAGAGGCTGGGGACAGCTGCTGACCCAGCTGCTGGGCACCCCCATGCCCTCATCCTACAGCCTGCCAGGAGGGGGGGCTGGGTCCTGAGAGCACCCCTGCATAGCTCTACACCCGCACAGTGGGTAGAGCCCCCAGTGGAAAAGCCAGGAGTGGGTGGGATGGCTTCTTCAGCTGTTGAGACTCCCCCCAGAACAGGTTTTAAATCACATAGGCGTGAAGCTTAGAGGACCGTGGCTGTTGACTCTGGGTCCGATTGCTCTAGCTGATTGCTTGCGTCCTCCTGTCCTCCATGGGACTGGTGTCTGTGGAAGGCCTGGCATGTGCTCAGCACCGTGCCGGGTGCTGGAAGGACAGCAGGGAGTGAGACACAGCCCTCCCTATGGGGCTTACAGATGAGTCAGGGGAGGCCCGTGCTGGGAAAATCCCACCCCTAAGGCTCGGCGTTAGTTAGGATCTTAGGGCAGGGTTCGTGTATGTGTCTCTTAGAGGTGTGTCAATTTCCAGATGTAGTGGCCACACTGCTAAGACACTGAGCTCTGTTTGCTGGGACCCCTGGGAGGCCCAGGTTCAATATTCCGTCCAACCTGAAGGCACAGTGGCAAGTGACTTCAGCCCTCAAGGAGGCTGAGGCAGGAGGAATCGGAAGCTCCAGGCTGACCTGAGTGATGCGATGAGACCCTGGTGCATGCCAGTAGTCCCAGCTGGGAGGCTGAGGCAGGAGGATCAGGACAGCAAGTCTTGAAAAATCAGAACACAGACCCAGGAGCCAGTTGTCCCCTTTGAAGCTGGACTCTTCAGCTGACTGCTGTGTGGCCTCTGACAAGTCACTTCATCTCTTTGTGCCTCAGTGCCCTGTCTGGAGGTGCTAGAACAATAGGGCACCTCACAGGGCCACGGTGAGGATGAAACAGATGACAGCGACGTCTGCAGAGAACTGAGGACAGCCTTGGCGTTGACTGGCGCTGTGGAAGTCTCACTTGTTACATAAGAAATGCGGGACAATCTTTACAAGATGAAACGTGAGTGTCACAGCAGGCTGAGGACACAAGGAATGTGGCCCAGCCTGCCCTCCTTGCAGGGTGCTTTCATACCTCTCTTCCCTTACTAGCCATGACCCCCTTGGGTGGGCCTTCCCCACACCACTAGCGGAGAAGACTGAGATGGGGCCAGTGACGATGTGGTGGAGGGGACCAGGCTGCCAGGCAGGTCGGACCCAGATGCAAGGCCTGTGTCCCAGGGGCGGGGCCTGCACAGGTTTTCTGCTCTGCTCTTGAACTTCTTTGTAAGTCAGAAACGGGGCCCTGTGTTTTTCATGTTGCAAATTACGTTGCCAGTCTTGTTCTGATCTCATGTACTTAGTGCCATCACTATATTTTTTAGGAGTGAAGACACTTACTTAATTTATTTAGATTTGTTCTAGGATGTGTGCATTTGTAGGGGTAGGAGGGAAAGTGAGAAAGTCCCCCCTGGGGGAATGGCCACTCTGCAATCCCTTCTTCTCCATTCTCCTCTAGGGATTTCAGGTACACACGCACACATGCCCAGCATGTTTTACAAAGCATTGGGTCCAGGACTTGAACCTCAGTGTTGACCATGTGGGATCCAGCCACCTTAACCACCATGTCACCAGCTGGCTCAAAGCCATTACTCTTAACTGCCACCATCGATCTGCCATACAGCGGAGCCCAGAGTAATTTTCCAATTCATCAATTGCTGCAGTGGGACTGAAATCCTGGGGCAAATATGAAGACTCAGTACAGGGTGAATTGCCCAAATGTCTATTTATCATTCTGTTGTCCCCATTAGAAGGCAGGCAGGGGCAGTTGCAGAGGGTAGAGGCCACGAGCCCTTTAGGGCTAATCCTCAGGGCCTTGCTTGTATCAGGTGTCCAGCTGAGTTCACCATCGCAGCCCCAAAGCTGCACCTGCACGCCGACGTGCTAAAGTGGATGACTGTGTAACGAGTTCTGTAACAGGCGAGTTCAGAGACAACATGGGTGTTTAAAGCACATGGGCCTGGCTGTGCTAGAGCCTGCTCCCGGAGAAGAGGCAGAGTAGGTTGTAGTTCCAGGCAGGTTCAAGGCTCAGTGAGGATGCAGGGAGAGGGTCACAGTGTTCTGGACCTTTAAGTGAGAGGGAGTGGTGAAAGACCCTTATTTTCTCTGAAATTAAAGTTCATCTCCACTCTCAAAACCCAAAAGTGTAAATATTACCAAGAAGCCAATAATTTTTTCAAAAATGCCTTGAAGATATCTATAACAATAATAAGCATGGGGGGGGTGGAAAAACATGACGTTCAGCAAGGCTGACCCACCCTGGGAGGTTCCCGGTTTGCGTCTGGAGACCTCCCTGAGCGTGCCAGGCATGCGTGTGCCCATGACCTGAGCCAGCTGGGGGTGGATTGCAGCATCAAGACCTCTCTCGTTGTCTTTCTCAGTCATAGCAGAAATAAAGAAAATATAAACATGCATTTGGGTCTTTGCCAGCCACGTTCATAGGCATGATATCCATTGTTTCAGAGAATCTTCTGATGTAGTTCTCATCCTCATTTTCTTTTTTAAAAATTTTATTTATCTTTATTATTATTTTAAATTTGAACGGAGAGAGGGAGAGTGAGAAAGCAAGCCGCCAGATCCGGGACTTGAACTACCATCAGCCATGTGGGAGTCCAGCACCTTAACCACCATACCACCTGCCCACCTCTCTTTCTTCTTTCTTTTATTTATTAATTATTTGCTATAGAGTATGTGTGCGCATCAAAGAGAAAACAAGGGAAAGTGAGAAATCACTCCCGGCGGTAGGGGGTGAGTGGGAGGGGATGGCTATACCTCAATTTCTTCTCCATTTTCTTCTCTGGATTTTGGGCACACACATGCACCCGGCGTGTTTCTCAAGCTACCAAGTCCAGGACTCAAACTGCGCAGCCAGCCATGTGAGCTCCAGCCGCCTTAACCACCACTCCACAGACTGGCCCCTCGTTCTCCTTTTCTAAATAACATGATAACCACCAACATGCGTCAGATGCTTTGGCTTCACTTTACAAGTATGAAGCCATTTTAGCTGTGTAAGCAGCACACGAGGGAGATGCTGGTCCCCGGCTCCCTGGTGAAGAGATAGGTGAACCGAGCAATCAGGGACTACATACCAGCGTGTGGAGAGCCGTGTCTCCAGCCAGCACCCGTCGGCACCCTTCTGTAAAGGGCCAGAGGGTAAATCTTTGCCAGCCATAGGGTCTCTCTGTTGCATCTGCTCCGCTCTGCCCCTGGAACTTAGAAGCAGCCAAGCCCATACATAAATAAATGGACATGACTACGTGTTCTAATAAAACTTTATTTACAGAAACAGGGAGTAAGGCCAAATGTGGCCCACAGGCCAGAGTTTGTCAACCCCTTTCAAACCAAACGCCTGCCTTTCAGTGAGAACATAGCGAACCTGGCCCTGGCATGGCTCTCTCCCCACCTGTGAGGCGCCGAGGAGTTGAATTTCAGAACAGATGCCCACTGTCTCTGGAGAGGTGCAGTTGGCGCCTCCTCCCTGGAGGAGATTCCAAAGTTCTTGGAACTTAGAACTATTAGGGCTTATTATAGATTCTTATCATAGAACACCCTGAGAACTTAAAAAAAATTATTATTATTTTAATTAGAGAGAGAGAGAACGTGAGAAAAGAAGCTGCCAGATCTGGGACTCAAACCACAGTCAGCCGTGTGGGAGTCCAGTACCTTAACCACCATGCTACCTGTTGGCCCCATACCCTGGAGATTTTAAAATTGAACTTTAATAGTCATCAACTGAGCAGCTTTTTTTATAAACATTTTTTTTTAGTTGCCAGAAGGCACATGTGCTCTCCAGAGAACGAGAGAGTGGAGAGACAAAGAAAGCACTCCTGGTGTGTGTGTGTGTGTGTGTGTGTGTGTGTTTGCGCGTGTGGTCATGCCACAATCCCCTTTCTTCCACTTTTCCATCCCGTCAGGATTTTGGGCACACACATGCAGGTGCCTGGTGTGTTTTCCAAGCTATTGGGGCTGGGATTCGAATCACAGTTGACCAGGTGGGATCTGGCTTCCTATGTACTGGGCTTAACCACCAACTGAGTACCTTTTAAAGAGGAAAAGATGTGCTACCGTTTAGGGAAATACTTCAGTGAGGAATAAGGCACTCCTTTAAAGTAGGAATGAAAGCTATTGGGTCATCGGGAAAGTCATGACGCATTTGTGCATAGAAAAATTTGCCCTGACTTTCCTGACGACCCAATATCTCAAGACCTAAGAATGGGGCTGAGGGGGGCCCAGCCTACGGTGCAGGAGCAGTGAACCATCAGCAGTGCTGGAAGCCGCACGGCCAGCCAGGGGTTTGCATCCTGAGTTGGCTGGAAACACAGCAGGTGAAGGTGCACCCAAGATCCTGACTAGCAGAGGGCTGGGAGAAGGGGATCGTGGCTTGACCAGACCCTACTTGGGGTACCTGTCTCTTTTTCTCTCTCTGTTTCTCATGCACATGATTGCTCATGAAAGAAGTAAAATAAGCTTGAAAAATATTCAAGTAACCACAAGGGCAGATGGCAGTTTGTGTGTGTGTGTGTGTGTGTGTGTGTATGTGTGCAGTGAGAGGGTGGAAAAAAGAGGATTTTCACAGGGCACAAGGCTGGAGCCTACAGAATCCTATGGAAGAGTCAAGAAGAGCTTTTATTGTTTTTAAATGAGTTTATTGAGATCTAATTCACTTAACACGGTCTGCCTGTTTAAAGGGTACAAGTCAATGGCTTTGAGGATATTCACTCATTATCGCATTCGATTTCAAAATCTTTCCAGTCACCTAAAAGGAAGCCAGGGCCCCTCTGTGGTACTGCAGTTAAGGCAGATCCCACAGGGTCTACTGCAGCTTGAATCCCAGTCCCGGGAGCTTGAAAAACAGGCCAGGCAAGAGAGAGAGAGAGAGAGAATGTGTGTGTGTGTGTGTGTGTGTGTGTGTGTGCATGTGTATGAGCGTCCGTGTGTGCCCCAGATCCTGAAGGCACGGGAAAGTGGAGGAAGAAGGGTTGCAGCATGATCACTCCCCATAGGGGTTGTCTGTCTGTCTGTCTCTGTCTCTCTCTCTGGTGAGCACACGTCCTCATTGGCAGTTTTCAAAAAGGACATTTAAAATACAAAAATAAAAATAAAGAGGCCCTATACCCTTTAGCAGTCCTCCCCCCACACCCACCCCAGTCTCCAACACTCCAACCCTATGTAATCACTAACCCACTTCCCGTCTGTATGGACGTGCCTGTTCTGGAGATTTGACGTGATGGAATCATGCATTGCGTGGCCCTTGTGACTGGCTCCTTTTACTTAAGCACGATGGTCCATGTCGTAGCATGTACCAGAACCACATGCCTGTGGGCCGCTGAGCAGTACCCATGCCAAGGCTAAACCACCTTTGTGCATCCCATGCTCAGGTGAGGGGCGTCTGGGTTGTCCCCCTTTCAGCTGCTGTGGACTCTGCAGGCAAGAACGCCGATGTCCGGGTCTTTTTGATCATGTTTTCATCCTCACAGGTGTACGGCTAGGAGCGGAATTGCTGGGCCACGAGGCACCTCCGTGGTTAACATTTTGAGGAACTGCCAGAGGGAGGCCTTACATTGCCGTTTTCAACTTTGTCTTAGGGAGATTTCTCAGCACACCTGGAAGTGGAGATTAGCCTTTTCCCTATGTTGTTTCTTCAGCCCTTTTCTGAGTTTTAAAAAAGTATTTATTTCCATTTGTTATTATTTTTAATTTTTTTTTAGATGTTTTCGCTATAGGGCACGTGCGCTCGCCAGACAGAGAGAGACAGAGAGACAGAAAGCAAGAAATCACCCCCCAGGGGTGATGACCACGCTGCAATCCCTTCCCCTCCATTCTCCTCTCAGGATCTTAGGCACGCACGCACAAGCACCTGGCATGAGTTTTAAGCTACAGGGTCCGGGACACGAACCGCGGGAGTCCAGCGACATAGGCATTACGCTAACTGCTGGTCCCATTATTTTTTAATTTGACCAGAGA